GGCCGCCCTGGGGCGTGGTCGCTACACGCTGGGTATGAGCCCCGGTTCGGAACTTCCAGTTGCTCTGAGGGAGAGTTCTCTTCGGAAGCGTCACCGCCTGGGGACGCGCAGGGCTGGTGTGCCTCCCCTGTCGGGTCACCATGAGTAAGAATGGACTTGGTGGCAGCGAGTTTAATTTTTTTTTTGAGGGGTGACGGTGCTAGACCAAAATCTTTTACGTTCATGATCCCACTTAATCCTTCAGCCTAATTTTATGAGGTACAAAAACTGATGGTCAGAGAAGTTAGTAAACTTGCTCAAAGTCCGTGTCGCATCGCCCAAAGTGATTATGATACAATGTGTTGCTCCCCTACCCCGCCAGTTTCCCTGCCAGAGGCGAGGTGCTCTGAATTGCCTCATGGCGGGGCTTCAAATAATCAGGGGGTCTTGTGTGGTTGTCAGGTCCGTAAACCTGGGCAACCATAAAGGCGAGTGTTAACGTTCCAAGATCTCAATCGGTCTGGCGTTTCTGTAAGAAATGGAAGGCCCTGGGTTAATGTGGGACAAGGAGGACTGTCCTATCTTGTAGACTGAAGGTGTTTGCTGTGTATACATGACACGAGCCGTTTGCCACTGCCACGGCCGCAGATAAAGAATGGATGATGCTGGGTTCTAGGGCTGATAGTCATCTGCAGCAGTATTTCTTTCAGCTTCACGGGAATAAATACAAGGATGCTCTGATAATTATGCCTTGATTCTCGAAAGAGGACTGGTGGGGGGGGCGCGGCTGGCGGGGGGCATCCCCATTGGTCTAGCGCCCGGTGAATAATAATGCTGTCCCTGTGTTTACAGGAGACAAAGTATTTAAAGCGCTATTGTGACTTTCACAGAAAAACAACTTCGAGGAAAGCCTGTTTTCCTTGCATTCACTCACCGAGCCTTTTCTTGCCTAACCTGCATAAATTCCTCCCATTTAAATGCAAGGGAGACTGGTTCACTTTGAAAGGAGAGCGCGCGCGGCAGAATGTCAAACAGAGCCCGGTGTCCCTGACTTCCGACCCAGCTCAGGGTGGGGCTGTTTTCTTCTCGCCTTTATGCCCCCACCCCACCCTCGCTTGACA